AATCGTAAAAATCCGGCCACAAATATGAAACATAGCGTTGCAAATGTGCAATCCATTTTTGACGTGCTACTTCACAGTTATATACCAATTTAGTTCAAATAAAACACCAACAAATTCGATTAAAATAGTTAACAGCTATATGTTATCTTTTTTTGCTACTATAAAATTTAGAATAAACATGGCTAAAGCAAGCTGCAGAACGTATGTATGTACGTCTGCCCCGCGATGAACAGTTAGTTGCCTATCCTATCTTGACAATAGGCGTTTATAGTAAAATCTACGTTACGCGCGGTCTAGTTATAACAAGTCTCTTGAGTAAGTACATAAGTAAAGGGTTACAATCGGCATTCAAGTTACACACATTTATAGATTAATTGAATGAAGCAAATACCTCACCTGATATAAAAAGCAAAAGCACACAGCAATGATTAAGGTATAACAAAATATTTAAAGATAAGCCCTACTTTACATCTTAAGCCGGTTACAAGAAAAAGACCATGAACACACATGTTAAGTTAAATCGTATTTATGGACTACTCTAAGCGACTCTGTAACTTGATCTCTTAACACCACTAAAAACCCCTCGAAAATCGCCCATTCCCTGCATTTCACGCATTTCTAGGAAAAAACTTGACTGCAGGTGGTTGAAATGGTAAACACATGTGGTCTTCCGAGAAATTCCATCCGTCTCATCTTCGCTCTCTTTCTCTTTTTTGTAATCCCACCAGATTTTGGTTGGCAGCTTGTGTAACTAACATGATGTATAGGGTGCTTCGTATCGACAGCCATATTCACAGGACGTTGCTAAGGTTGGGGCATCTCAAAAGTATTCAAATTCAAGTGTTACTTTATTTGTTGTGTTTCTGTTTGCGTTTTTTACAGTTACCTCTTGCAGCAGTTTTCCTTATATTTAACCTTTGTGATTTGGAATTTTCTTCAGCGCGGTTCAATAAACTTATCTGACACCCTCTACCCCTGGGTGGACCATCTAAAGCGGACTACCTTAATAGGGGTCCACATGGATCGTCCTCCAGTGGGTCCCTCTTAGTTTTACCGTGATACACAAATCATGGCTGTTAAAGCCCACCCTCACTCAAATTTTCTTGAAATTCAACTTCAAAATTGACACCAATAATGGGGGTTTGATTGCTAAGGTAGATAATTTACCAGGTGCTGTGTCATACACGGAGGAAATCGTGAACAAACTGAATATAAAAGTTATATGATCACGAATTCCTAACCTATAAATGCAAGGATATTTTTGCTCAAATGTTAGGTTAGTCAATATTTGTAAAGTGCAAGTACTTCCCATAATCCAAACAAAAAATACGTTTATAAGTTTATAAGAAAAATTTCATTTTATTGCTTTTCTAAATAAGAAAGTTGGAACTGCGCATGCGCAAATCTAAATTTTGAAACTAACGTTAGATTTTCCTTTGTTCCAAGCGCCTATGTATCACATTTCATTTAAATGCTTCCATAGATAAAAAAAGTTGGCACTGCGCATGCGCAAAACCAAATTTTGACACTGGCGTTAAATTTGCTTTTATTCCAAGGTGCTATGTATCCAATTTTATTTAAATCCCTCCATAAATAAGAAAGTTGACACTGCGCATGCGCAAAACCAAATTTTGAAATTGGCGTTAAATTTGCTTTTATTCCAAGTGGCTATGTATCAAATTTCATTTAAATACTTTTATAATTAAAAAAGTTTGCAATTCGGTTTATAAATGGTCGGGATGCGAAAAGGGCACTGTGAATTTTGAATCGATTCGACTCAACTTTTGGCATTGCGTATTGTATGGCTAAAGCTATGCCCATATTGAATTTCATGCAATTCAGTTCATAACTAACGGAGATGTAAAAGCGATCGGACATTTCTAAACAAAGTTATCGTTCACACGGACAGATAGAGGGACAGACAGACAAAGAAACAGACGGACAGACCAACAGGCAGACGATAGACAGCAATGCAAAATTATAAACGATCTCTAGGATCGTTAATAAACGGCAAAAGTGTAAAATTATGGAACATGTAAAAAACGGTTTTTTGTTTTTTTTACAATAACTTTTTTGTAAGCGGTACAGAAAAAATTCCTTCCTTGGTACAAGACTCGACACCATAACGAACCAAATAGCGAAAAAAGTAGAACAATAGCTCTTAAGATAAAAAACTAGTAGCGTCTCAAAACGAGCGGACGGACGGACGGACAAAGTGGCCACAATTGTGCATTTTTTTTATTGTGGAAATGCGCTAATTATGGAACATGTAAAACGGTTATACCATCTGCGCCAACCGGAAGTATGAATATTTACATATACTTCTCATTCGTATACTGTGCCAGCACGGCGGCAAATGTTTCTGGCTTCTGACGTCACGCGGAGTAGTCTCGCGCACAGGTACGTTTACTTGCTTTGCGCCGACCCTTGATTTTAAAGTGCTTACAGCAGACGTAAATATCAATATTTTTTTCTGATCGTTTTTTAATAACAAAATCTCTCGGTTTCAGTTAAAAAAAAATGTCGAACCTGTCCATTCTTTTGTAGCAATCCCGTATAGTTGATATTAAACCAAATACTTATTGAGCCAAACTGTGCTATCTACTACTTGCGTACTTGGGTTAACTTTTTTCAGATTTTTCTTCAAAAAGTTTGCTCTCCGCTGCAGTGCATTTGTTGGCCGATTCTACGACGCAGTCACCTCCATCAGAAAAGTTTCCACCCATTGTACATACCGAATCGGCAGATAGATCATTCGTTCCGTTGCCGCAAAAAACATACTACCCTTGGCCACCTCCAACTACAGACTTACAACGTGGGTACCTAAATATTACATGTCACAGTCACAATAAGAAATCATGTTTGCAGTTACTCAGTCAAATCTAATATCTCCCGGCGGATCTGTATATGGAAGCAATTATAAAAGACAACGAGGCGAAAAGAAGCCGATTCCAGAGGAACAAAAAGACGACAAATATTTCGAAAGGAGAAGGAGAAATAATCAGGCTGCTAAAAAATCGCGGGACGCCAGGAAATTTAGAGAAGATCAGGTAAGTACTGACCACAATACATCGTTCCCATTACCTTTATAAGTCAATGAGGTGTTCTAGGTTGCTTTGAAAGCTGCAATTTTGGAACACGAGAACGCCATTTTACGAGCTCAAATATTGACATTACGAGATGAAGCAGCTACTCTTAGAAGACTTTTAATTGATAAGAAGGTTTCTGAAATATGAACATTGTATCAAATTGTTTAATTTAGTCAAGCGAAATGTACAAATCTTTGTTTCATGTATCAATACCTTTATGCATTACTTAATACACGTTAAAAAAAATCAATGTTTTTTTAAACGATAGACAATACATACAGGACATGCAACGTTTTGCAAGCGTTAATCGTCAGTGGGCTCATAAATGGCGGATGAGCTTACGGACTAAGCTTACGGACCAGTCAGCTGTGGTAGGTATATACAGTGAATTTTTTTTAATGCGAACATAGGAGTTTGCATGTAATGTAATTTCCCTATGTTCGATTTTTAAAAAAGCACATTAATTTGGCAAAGTTGTATATTTTAATAGTTTTTTCACTATGTAAGATGCTAGTTTTAAATTTTAAAACCGACGTTTCGTCACCGGTTACCCATCTTCAACTTTGATTTTTCTTATGGAAGTAATTTTTAGTTTTTGTGTCATTTGATAGAGAGCTCATATTACGCGATAAGTTACCATTTATAAACATTAAACAATAGTGATACTGTATCTAAGATTGATCTCTTAAGTATTTTATGTTACCAAACAAATGCTTATTATTAAAGAACTTAGCCGCCTTTATTCCGACTCCTGCAGTTTCATTTTCATTTAGCATCTCCAAGACTCCAACCCAATTAGCCGACTTGTCCGCCGTAAATGCCGACTAAGAAAATCTTTGGGGGGGTTTGATATACGTTTAGGTACCAATAAAACCAGTAAGTTATTTACTTATGGAATCGAAAGGTTTATAATTTAGTATTACATGTAAGCGCTGCGCGATTTAGGGGGAGCGGGGAAATCTCGACGGGCACTCGCACGGCGCGGTGATCGGCAGTATCCGACTTGCGGTGGCACTCCTCGCATCTCTGTTCTGTTAATTTTTACTTTCAGAGTATTATACGCATTAATTATTGTGAATAATAAATGGTTATTGGGAACTCGTGTGTTTTACATACATGCATAATTATCTTGATACAAATTCTTCTGTAAGGATGTGTGTCACTGAACTCCTAAACGACTGGACTGCTTTTGATGAAATTTTTTTCATGTCTTTCTGTATGGCACCGGATGTTCATTCTAGCGCATTAGCTCTAATGTCTTGTTTGTCCATGGACAAGTAGATCTTACTTCTTGGACACATAGCCCTGGTGTTGAAAATTCAGGAGTAGTTACGTCAATTGGATCCTATGTTCCCTTGTCCTAACTCTTTCTCCCCTAGATGTAATTTCCAATGGGGTGCTATTGGTAAAAAGTGCAAACTGAAAATACGCGGAGGATTGAACTTTTCTTTCCTGTAGCATTTGTTGATCCATTCCAGTCTTAATAAAGTACAAGTTTCGCGGGCACACACGGCACGGTCTCAGTTTAATTTATACTTATAGTTATAGGTAACCAATAATTCAATATCTTGAAAGAAAATTAACACATTAATAAGAAATGCAACATATGAGGGCGAGAGACGCATACAATACACCTTTGCACGATGGCCGTGGTACAAACGTCACGGATACAGAAAAGTGAGAAAATTCTACGGCAGGCGAGAGTACGTCACACGCGGGAAGTTCCCCTCTCTCTCCGCGCCCACAAACTGCAGTGACTGAGGCAACCGTTTAGCATACGGACCGTTTCAAAAATCTCCAATGAAAAGCTTTAATATGACATATGATGTACTGATAAATATACAAAGATATAGTCGAATAATTTAGGTCACTCTGTATAGCTCTTCAGCTTTGATCTGTCAATCACGGTACTCTATGACATAACCAAAAATAACATAACCTGTATAATATTAATTCATAGAACCAAGAAGTTAAAACCAATATTTCGTTTTAGCAAAAATGTCTGCAGCATTTAAAAATGCGAAAAAGAAGTTGCCGCAATCAGAGCTTCGACGTATTATGAATGATCACAAAATTAAAAAAACCACAAAGATTGAATCGCCTCTTGCAAAATATCCTTTTCTACTCATTGTAATTAGATTGCCTTCGCTATATTTTTTCTTAACTTTGAATAAGTATAACGATTTAGGTCAGCTAACGTGCGTCCTCTGTCAGTCCATCGTTCGATCGGAAGGAGTGTGGAATGTTCACATTAATTCTAAACAACACCGCGATAAAGTGGAGGAAGCTAGGCGGCTGAAAGAAACCACCAACAACTTCACCACAAATCCAAAGAGATCTCTCGAAGTGCCTATAGAAGTTCCCACGAAAAAGATAAAGGGCATTTTAAAAAATTCAAAGACCTCAACTCACGACAACGATGCTTCCAATACAGAAATCAGTAGTAATGTTGGTAATGCGGTTACGTTTAAAGAAGTAAGTGTGGACCCTGTGAGCAATAAGCAAGATGAACAGATGGTCATTGATCCAAAAGATGACCAATCTGCCATTCCAGAAGGATTTTTCGATGATCCGAAACAGGATGCTAAAGTAAGCATTGTGAAAATAATTTTGGTATTCATGTAATACTGTTGTGATAGGTGCGGCATATTGATTACAAAGATCCTGTAGAAGAAGAATGGGAAAGATTTCAAAAAGCAATCAGAGATGCTAATAACGAAAGTGCTAACATAATCGCTGAAGACCACGAAGAAGCAACCAACGAGCGTCAGATAGATGAAATTGATGAACAGATGAAAAACTGGTCCAAGTATTATTTTTACTTTGAAAAAGGGCTTTCTTAATATTTACTTTTAGAGTTTTAACATTAGAAAAGAGAAAATTGGAACTTACAACGACAACAAATACTTTTGAAAATATGGATGCAGATTTATCGGAAGATAGTGCAGATGATGTTGAATTTGAGGAATATGTAGATTGGCGAACAAAAAAGTTTTTAAGGTAATGCAAGAGAAAAGGACTTTGTATATTAACCTTAATCTTAGGTTTCTTTGTAAGTGATACATAAATAATAAGACATGATTTTCCTTTTATTTATCAATTTCATCTATTTATGCAGGTGTTTATCAAGACCTTCCTGTAAAGCCAAAGGTATAAAGTAAGTTTCAACCATTGTCAGTTTATCCAAAACTTTTCCTGCTATCAAGCACCTATGAAGTGTTTCCTTTTTATTGAAAAATTTCTTTTATTAAGTTTGGAATGTACACAGGGGCAGGACCCCCTTGCATTACCCTTCAAAGAGCGGCTGGTGAAAGATAATCATTTATCAAAGTGCCTGAAATAATTAATCATTCTGTAGTTTGACAGTGAACAAATTCCAAAAGAATTAATTTAAGCGGTTTGTGAATGAAAAAAATGTGCTGAAAACGATGAAATAAAATTTACCAATGTTTGACTCCCGGAAAAGTCTTAAACGGAAGTGATAAACCGGAATAGTTTTTGGGTTATAACTAAGCTAGAATTGCTTTTAGGAAAAAAATTGTTCTATGTAAAATTAAAGCGCATCAAAATCCCTACAAAAAAGTATATAACACATTTTTTTGTGGGAGCAGTGTTTTAGACGCAATATGTGTATTTATATTGCGAAATAACCTGCACCAAGCGACAAGGTCACTTCCAGTTGATGAGTATTGACCAAAATTTAATCAGTTAGTCCCTTGGCCATTGTCCCCCTATTACTGAAAACAGAACTGGAAAATTCGAAACCGTCCGCGAGTTATATTTATATATGTACACAGATGGACGGACGTACGGCCGAACAGAAAGTCCAAATCATGAACTCGCTTTTTGTTTCTTGTTTCTCTCAAAACTCAAAATTTTATAAATTTGGTGTAACTAACACATTCCCTCACTGTTAAAAAATTTAGCCACAGAATTTAAATCCCCATATATTTTACACAAGGACGTTAAATTAACGTCCTTGATTTTACAAAATATAAATATAGTTAACTAATTTATTAACGATCCTTAAGACCGTTTATAATTTTGTATTGCTGTCTGTCCGCGTGCACGATAACTTTGTGTATAAACGTCCGAGTGCTTTGAAAATTGATACACATGTTCTTAATGTTAAAGAAAGGTCGCTATTGTTTTTCGGCTACGTATAGACTAACGAGTTAAAAAGTTACAGCCCAAACCGCCAAAAAAGGGTTTCTTTTATAATTCTTGTTACAAAGAACATATGAATGTCCAGTTTTCTGATGTTAGTAATTGCTATGCAGATGAATAATACAAAATTGTGCAACCCAACTTCATAGGTGTTTAAATGAAATTTTGTACATACGTAGGCACCTCAAATAAACGTTAACCTAATGTCGGCAAACACTGACATCTCCGTTATTCATGAACCGAATTGCATGAAATTTTGTACTATGCAATTAAAAATGAGTTGCTGTCGAGTCACCTTTGGAATTTTTGTTTCCATGGAAAATCGTACTTATCTTGAACTTCCAAAGGCAACTCGACATCAGCAACTCATTTTTGATCGCCTGTTATGTAGGCACCTCGAATAAAAGTAAAACTATAATGCGGTGCCGAATCAAAAAATGTGCGCATGTGCAATTTCAAATTTTTTATTATTCAGCGATATTTAAATGAAATTTTGTATATATGGACCTCGAATAAAAGAAAAGCTAATCCGATTCAAAAATTTATTTTACAAGCTATGTTTTGTTTTGTCTCAGTGCCAGCCGCCAACGACTCTGACATGCCGTGTTGTCAATCCCATTACGTCATTACGCGTTAGCGCAGAAAATTTTACTCATTTATAGTAGTGTTTTCGTGAAGTTTCTAAAAAATGAGCGGAAAAGGAGGTGCAATTTGTAAAAAAACAAAAGTTAGAAAAACAACAAAAATTAAATGAAGTATTATAAAAAAAACCAAGATTCAGCTTTTTTCCCTACCTACTGGCGGTATAGTGTGACACATATATACAATGGTATGACTTAGCCCCCGACGGCCCCTGAACTAAATCCGGCACTGCCTGCACTGAAGGCCAGAGTTGGACCACGCCCAAATGTCTCGCTCCCTGATGAGACAAGCTGGATTTCCTTTCCTCGCAGTTTTACTAAATCAGACCTATTTTCATATGGGC